TAGAGGGAAAGAAAATGGAAAAAGCAACAATAAAAGGAAAATAAAAAGGTTCACGCAAGACAATAATCTTATTTGGATTTAAGAATATTTTACCAGATTATCAATACTATGTGTTTCCGAACAAAATGTGGAACTGTTACTTAAGCAAATACATTTTCACAGTTTTTCCTGGCTGTTATTTCTCTGTTCTAAATTCCAAACAGTATAAGACAAGAAAGATAATGCTGTTTTTTTTTTTCTTTTTAGATTTTGAGGCCTAAAGGTAAATATGATTTAAAACAACACACAATTGGCTGACAGCAAGAGGTAACTTTGTAACTCCATTTAACTCCACTTTCTCTTTCAAGAGAATAAACGCTGCAGTGAGAAACGGAACTTAGGAAGCTGGTTTGTTTTGGTTTTTAGTAGTGAGTATTTCAACAGCAGAGGTCAAGCAAAACATATCTTTTCCCATAGCAAGAACTTTCCAAGGCTTGTGAGATGGAAAATTGTGGGGAAAGATTTTTTTTTTTAACTATTCCTCTAAAGAATAACAAGAGAAATTAAAATAATGTGCATAAGCCTGAACTGGAGGAGGAATGCCATTTAGAAGAACTGAAATGCAGCTTAAAACATCTTCCTCTGTTGTTTTTAAAACACAGGCTCACTAAGAGCAATGTGTTTTGCATGTTATACAAGTAAAATAGCAGCCTTCAGGTTACACATTTTTAAAATTACTGACATACTTAGCATATAGCAGCTGACATCTTGATAGAAAAAAACATCCCATGCAGCATCAACACCCATGACTACTCTAGCATCTACCTGAAATTCTAAGAAATTTTGATATGAGAAAAGTCCATTTAAAGCGTGGGTTTGAATGGTGATAACTTCCAAACCCAGGGGTAATCTCAAGTTACTGGAAAGAAGAGAGGAAATTTAAAATCTTACTTAGGTCAAAATAATTAACTGTCCTCTTCTTTTGGCCATAGTCCTACAATAATTCAGTAATGCTGGGGTGTTTACCCAGATTTGCTTTCCTTTTACATATCTATGGATTGGAGGAATCATTGAATTGATTTAGGCTACCAGCACTGGTGTTAGCTTATTGACCGATACCTGGCTTAGTAATGCCACCTATTCTGCTTAATTTAATTAAAAAAGAAAAACCACAAAGAGAAACATACAACTATAAGAAAATCTCTTTACATTTCTGATACATAGAAAACTGAAAAAGCAAAAACTATATTCTTAGGTGAAAATACAGCAAAGGCTACAGGATAATAAGGATAGTTCAGATCTTTTTCTATTGCTGTGGATAGTCCAGACTACCAAAGTTGAAATCAGCTGTGGGAACACTTTGGGTGGCTTGTTTTAAATGGGGTACAACAACACTGCTTTACCTGTTCAACCATTAGGACCTTGGGCTTTTCCTGCCCCTTCAATTTTAATGCACTGAATGCTACATGCACAAAAATTAAGCCAAGCAACTCAAGATGATGAAGAAATCTTTGCAAGTGCCTGCCCATTTCCTGCCCTCTAAGTTAAGCAGTGAATCTGTGCAGCTTTAGTAGTTTTTATGGTGCATTATTTGTGGTAGTTGTGGTGAGATCAAAACTGTTTGCAGTGCCATCTCCATACTCCAGCATTAAAATCCTGCTGCATGCTAGCAGAGCTGACTCGTGCTGTCATCGGTGTCAGCCAAAACAGAGCAAATCCGTTGCCTGGATTTCAAACCCAGTGGCTTCTCTGGCCCTTGGCACCATGGGGAACCAAAAAGTAACTCTCCTAAAACTGAACTCCGTCCTAATGCACACTCATCATTAACAATCTACTTAGAAAATTAACATGCAAACACCCTCGCACTCCAAAACGGTCATTTCCTATAAAATGTGACTCTGTTATCATGAGGAAAGTAAGCTAAATTCAAATCTTCTTTCCCTAAATAATATGAACCATCTTCCCAGTCAGCCAGATTTCTAATTGTTTTGTTGTTTATGTTGTTTTCTGCTTCTAAGTGCTTTCATTGTGTTTCCAGGAATAATTGAGTGACAATCAATTACAGTCTTCTGATCTCATGAAGGAAAATAAAGAAAGTAGAAAGTAACTAAAAAGCTAAAAAATTGGCAGCATCACAAGTTATGCTTCTCTCCAACTGACACAGAGCACTTCCCCACTGTGTTACTAAAATCCATAGATCATCTTACAGACAAAAGAAAATAAATTCTTTGCATATGCAGTATCTTTTGGCAAAAATGAACTGAAAACTGCTCATCAGACCAGCTGGATAGAGGATGCTCACACAATCTTCTATCGGGCTTCATCAGACCAAAGTATTTTTCAGCAACAGCAGCCAAATGAGAACACTGTGCTTCAAGGAAAAACAATGACACGTAGAGTAGGGATAAAACAGAGATCAGCATTGCCTTCTCATTTGGCTAAAGGCACACAGGAAGGCATTAACAAACATACATTTTACCTGACCAGGTGTGATGCCCTATAGCTGAACCACAGGCGATACACACAAGCTTGCGTGTGGAGCTGTTCAGACAAAGAAGAGATGTCCCTCTCCAGGCATTTCTTCACCATTTGTAAAGTTATGCATGAAGATGGGGTACAGCTCCCCGTTCTGCTGACCACTCTGAGAGCACCTCTCTGCGAGCGCAGCACTGTTGCAGTGATCGCTGCACTAACACTACGTAGCATAAATCATAGGTTAGCAGAAACCAGCCTCGGAGTAGCTAATAACCAGGCAGCTTTATTGCTATCAACAGCAACGCCTGAAGGATGAACAACTACCTCACGGTCTCCCAATTTTCAGCTGTGCTGTTTCCACACACTGTGCAAATTTGAGCTGCCAAACCCAGCTGCAGACTGGGAGCTACTCAGATTCCCATTTTTCCAGCGCACTAAAGAAATCATACTTTTCCCAAGCAGTGCAACAAAAAGAGCTGTATTTATCAGGGAGCTGCAGTTCCCTGTCCATCATGCCTTGAACAGCTGTAGTGAGTGAGCTGGTTTCTGACGGACAGCCAAGATGTGTAATCTGAATCACACCATCCCACTGCTTATTCAGTGCCGATAGCTGATGCTATCCCCATCTCGCTCACTGGCTTGCTTTTTTTTTAACGTTTTGACACTAGTCCTGAAAAGGACGGATTTAAGTTAAACCCTTTTCAATAACGCAAATGTGGTTTTGCAATTAAAGCCACACAATTAGCATTGACAAGCTCAGGTCAGCAGAACACAGATTATGCCGTTCAAATGCTCTGCCACTCAGTGCCTCCAGCAAAAAGCTGCAGGAGAGGAGATGAGACGAAGAAGAAAAAAAATCTCCACACATTATTTAACAACTTGTGCTCTGATGCACTGCACCACTTGTGGATTTGTGGAGGGAGGCTCATTAATTTATTTAGTTAAAATCCCTTTGGCTCTGGCCTCCTTTTCCACTGGTTGTATCCCTTCAAGACAACAAGAACTAAGGGCAAGAATATTGGTAACATTCAGCAGAATTAACTTCTCAAAAAAATCCTAAATTAAAAGATCCATGTCTTAAAAATGTTTCCTTCTTTGCAAAAGGAAGTATTTGCATAAGATCTCCTTCACTCAGCCACTCATACTGCCTAGACACAGAAATCATGCATTCCTGGGATGACATAGTGATTAATTTTAATTGAATACTGCTGGTTTTAAAGGTATAAACAGTGTGTGTGTGTGTGTGTGTGTGCGCATACATGTATAGATCACAAAACCAGAAAGCTAAATACAGAAGCTAAAAGGATTTCTCTCTTGCTGTTTTTCACTCAGCTGTACTTGGTTCTCTTTCCTCAGAAAAGTCAGGAAATGTTTGTATTTCATTAATACAAACATTTGCACCTACATATCTTTAATATTAACATGGTGACTCCTTTCTTTCTGTAAACAGACAGAAACAACCATACAGTCTAAAACCAAAAGTGGCATCATAGCAAATGTAAGCAGTCACTTTACCAGCACAATTGATGACCATCACCTAGTAAGTGCAGCGCTAAGATCTTGATCCCATTTCTAAATCATCTCTCAAGAAAATCTAGGTTTCATTGCCATAAATTATGAATTCTGTGACTGAAGCTTTCTGTTTGTATCTGAGTGCTACATACACACAGCATTATTTCATAGAATCATAGAATAGCACTTTAAAATCAATCTACACAACGTGATTCAAATACTTCCGTGCCTGCGTCATTCTATTGCTTTCAGTGGTCAGGAGAGATAAGGCCTTGACCTTAGAAATAACATATGATACAATGTAGTAAAATTTGATCTAAAACTGAGATTAAATGTAACTCTAATACACTGTATTTACATTTGTTTCCAGTTCAAGGTGAGGTAAGAAACCCTGGAAATCCCCAGGAGAGCAACAACATGTTCTATTGCTCTTACGTATGTTAAGTTTACTCCTTCAGGACAAGAGGATTCCCATAAAATACTGGGAATTCCCAATTCAGAAAATCTGTGACTTGTAAAATGCTAAAATAGAGATTCTAAACAAAAAAAAAAAAGGAAAAAAAAAAAGGGGGGGGGGGGGAGAAGAGAGGGGAGTTAAATATCTCTCCTGTATCCCTTGTGTTTAGTAATATTATCATTTCTTCAGGGCAGAAAATCAAAAATTCCTTCCTGCTAGCACTAGCAGCGGATACATCCTTACGTATAGTTACATGTACATATACAAACACACACAAATTTCCCCCCTTGCACCCCTTCCCCAGCTTCGTGATAGAAAAAAAACAAGCTATTGGTTGCATTTCAGCTGCGGACTTGTACCCAGCTGAAAATGTTCCTTTTAAAGCCAGTTTAATTTAAACTGTGCTTCCCTATTAGTTTTCATAACTCAAATGACAAGCAGCACACACCCTTCAGCACACATTATTCTACAGGTGAAAAAGAAAACCCAACCTGTGACCCGTCATTTCAGTTGCACCAAGGAGAAGTTTGTGTGGAATATGTAATGAAAATGCAGATATATAGATCACATTTCTTACCATGTCCCCAGGCTTGACAGAAACTGCCACCACTGCTCCAGGCATGGGAGATCTCAGAATGCTGGAGGTGTCCTCTGCTGCTTTCTCTGGCATGTACTTGCTCATCTCTGCAGCAACCTTCGTCAGTATTTGTAATTTGTACTAAAGAATAAGAAGAGGAATGTTTTAGAAAACTGCACCTTGGTGAATTCCAGTCAATAATCTGCTCTATGTTACGGCATGTTTTTATATAATACATCTGTTGTCTGTTCTTCACAGGAGTGTCTAAAAATCGCTGTTTGAAATCTCTATTCAGAGTTTCATTTTCAGGACATGGAAAAATATGCAACCCAAAAGTGCAGCAATGAGCATACAGACGGAAGGAATCAGGTACAGTAATGTCAGGTTCATTTTAAAACTGGGGGGTGAAAAGGGAGATTAAAAAAATTAAAAAAAAAAAAACAAGAAAACCAAAAAGCAAACAGGAACATCATTGTGCTTATGACACATGATGCTTAGAGGATAAGGAGTATCGAGGGATTCGTTTCCAGTGCTGTGATGAATTGGAAACTGAGCCTCTGGGCAAGTCTGCCAGATTTTCAATGACATGACTGATTTTAAACATTGTGTTTACTTTTTAAGCATTTCTTTTTATCACGTATTTAATGTTTGAAGTTAATAACTTGCTTAGATTTTGTGATTAAAACCAATTTCAATTCCATTTTTTCACGCACGGGCAGAATGATGGAACATTGTGGTTCTAACAAATACACCTTTTCCGCAATAAAAACTGTTCAGCATCTGTTATCTACCTTGAGGGAAAAAAAAAAAAAAAAGAAAGAAAAATGTTTTCTCTAGGATGTTTTATAGCAATTATAAATGGAAGCAAGTATGGTGACCCTCGGGGGTCTGAGAGCATCCCTTTAAACAACACCTTGCTGAAGACATGTGTGTGTGTGCAGTAATTTCAGCTCCAGGTTTTTAGTTTTTACAAACTTGTAATCACTTTGACAGATAATTCGCTGCACTTGGACAGATGGCCTTCCCATTTGTCCCAGTGCACTGGAAAATGAATGCAAAAAGCCAGTAGATGGCAGCAGGTCTCTGCGTGAAACTCCTGGCTCACCAAGGCCAACGAGTGAAGACCAGCACCACACTTCATCAAAAATTTAAACAAAGGTTTTAATAATAAGCACTGGATGAACTGCATTTACAATTCAAATGCGTATTTTGCTGATGTAAAGTTCAACACCTTGCTTTGCACAGTATGTTTTCCTCCAAAACAATTAGCTATTGTTTTATTAACAATAAAATGTCTTTACTTTTCATTTTTACCCAGACAGAAAAAATCTGATATCCTTATGGTGAAGGTAAAGGGGGACTCTACCTTCTGCTTCTGTAGAGAGTAGAATAAGGTATTTAGAAATACATGCAAAAGGTGATTAACTCTATAATGACAGCTTTAAAACGCAGCTTTCAAAGCCAAATTAAAAAGTAACAGAGGATTACCATCCTCTATAAATGGCGCTTGGACACACAAGATTATGTGCAATGAACAGAGCATCCATTCACTTAGAAATACTTGCTTCTAATCAGATATATAAGCACATGGTTAAATGAACCGATCCCCCACCACCACCCCAGTAAACTAATAAAATGTCACAATATCCCCTGAAGCTGTATGTGGCACCCAAAGATTTCAGAACTTATTCCCAAACACATGCCTTGGTTACAATTGATGTGGCAGAGGGGAACCAGCACCATTTTGTATGCAAAAAGCTCCCAAGCCTCCTGCAGGCATCATCATGACAATTAAGACTGTGGCACTCACACTTTCCAACCCCAAATACAGCTCTTCCTGCATAAGCAACTACATTCAATATGGTGGGCTCCTTGCAGTTGCTTTTTCTAAAAGTAAAGCACATGTGTGTGATACACGTGCACGTATGCACACTTGCATGGATGCTGTAGGGAGAGGGGAGGTGATGCCTACAGAAGATTTGATGACAGAAGTTGCAAATAGAATTGCAGCAGTGTGACAAGTCAAATAATAACATCTTATGCATGTTTCTTTATTCTTGAGTGTCTGTTTTGCAATCAAGACATACAAGTGTCTGCCAGCTTCTGAAGGATATGATCCTTAAGTGAAATTACTGTGCAAATAAAAGCTTTTTACTCCTATTAGAATTCATCTGAGTCATAAGTGGAGAGGAAAAAAAGCTTGCAGAGTGTATTCTGCTGTCAATCTAATAAACATTCTGTGCAGAGGGACTATTTATCAAAGATAAATTGTACTTAAAAGTCCTTCATTAAATCTATGGGGGGGAATATAATTACACCAAATTGCACAGTTTCAGTATCCATGGTTAGTGTCGCCTTTGTACTCAGAGTTTGAAAATAAAATAAATTAAAAAAAGGAAAAAAGAAACAACACAGAAATAAGTTAGATTTGTGGTCTGTACTGGTCATTACCTCTTGTACAAGACTGTTTTGATACGATTTCAAAGCATTAGGCTTAGCTAACATTTAGGTTTTTAAGCCACATATAACACTTCTGAGCTGCCCAATTACAAAACTGAAAAAGTGAAAGCTAGGCCTTCTGCGTTCATCTAGGTTACAGTATTTCATAGGGACTGAAATACAGAATTCCCTATGCACTCCACAATGTACAGCAGTGGAGGAAAGCCATGTTCCTCAGTCCGCTGCACTTTAAAGCCGAATTCTCCACACCAAGTTAAAATATCTCTACAAACATTGTTTTTACTATCTTTATAATTTTCATAACTTTTAGATTCCTTTCTCTGCAGGACTCCTGCTTTGCTTGGAGTGAGATGTAAGAGTCAGTATACTCAAAGCTTTAAAACGTAGGTCTTTGTTATTGATGAGCTGTTCCTTTTCCTTTTGTAGTTGTTTATTGTTCTTTAGCCTGTTTGGGGGATAAGCAAGTTACTGTAATCAAAAAGTAAAAAATAACAACAGTAAACTTCTGGGGAAAGGCCTTTTTTGGCACAGCTGATTCACAAATGACCTTTCAGAATATTAAAAGACAAAGTCACAAAGAAAGGTTCCTTCTTTAAGATTACCTTTGATGTATTTCTGCTGCTGGCTGGACCCCACTAAATAAGAGCATAAGTGTCCCTTTGTAAGGCTGTTTCTCATCCGTGGGGGATGAGCTATGCAGAGGGGACCAAGGGGGTTGTTCACCTAATCCAGGTGCAGCTTTTGGTTTGGTGAGAGCCACAAAACTCTGGAATACCATGTCAAACCATGCCTGCCAGTGCTGCTACAACAAAAACAATTAAGAATATACCGCATTCTATCATGATTACCACTGCTGCTATGCCTTTGATTTAGTGAGGGCAACACCAAACATACAAAGTTTCGATACCCTACTAACAGAATGCAAATGAGGTCTGGATTTTCTTCCTCTATCCTCAGGAGGAAGAGTTGGGGAAGGCTGTGAAGTTGGTTATAGAGACCAGAAGGTTTCCACTGGCCTAAACCAGAAGAAATATCTGTTGGAGTCATAAATAAATCGCATGTGGACTCTCAGAGCAAGGAAATCTGCTAGCCACCAGATCTACACTGATGAGTAGTTGTCACCAGCCACTGCTCCACTCTGCCAGGTTTCAGAGCCTAATTCTTCCAACCAAAGTCAAGTCAATAAAGAGGTACCCAAAAGAAGCCATACAGCTTTTGATGGCACAGAAAACAGGTGTTTCTTTTTCACAACACTGCTGGAAGTCCACAATCCGTTGACAAAAATTACAGTTGGAAAAGCGATGTTACTTAATAGTTTTCTAAGGGTAACAGTATCCTCTCCTACCTCTCCCACTAAATGAACTGGATGTGTATGTAATAAAAACCTACCTCTCAGACCAAATCTCCGTGACAAAAAAGAAGAAAACAAAAAGGTGTAATAATAGCCGTGCAAAGGAGTAAGGCAGTGGGAAAGAAAGCAAATACAGTGAAAATTATCCCCTGGGCTTTGTGAAGGCTTTTTGTAGATGTATATCCTACTGATCTCCCAGGTCAGTAGGGAAGCAGCAGACTGGCTGCTACAGAAAAAAGTGGCCAGGGCACATCTGCCCCCATCTTTGGTTAAAATAAGGAGTTTTGTAATTTGGATATATACAATTCTCTCGCCGTGTACAACAGAATATTGAAACCCTTCAGTAAAATGCTCAAAACTGCACTCTGTTACATCTCACATTAGTTTACCAAATATGATCTTCCCTGTACACCCAAAGCTCATGTCCCCAGAAGCTGGAAATGTTCAAACTCCATTGGAGCTTTTATAGAGCAACCTAGTGTATCACTACCCATATGTTACTTATGGCAGTATTTGAACTGCTGACCAGATGTGCATTTTCAGTATGATCTACCTAAATGTTCAGCCACGTTTTTCAAATGTCTGTCGTTCTTGTGGTTAGAAGGCTGAAAATCTTATGTAGCTCAGATTTCAGCATAGAAACCATCTGCCGTGCATCTTCATTATATTCACTGACCTTACAGTCTCATTTTCAGAATCAGTGAAATTTATTAACTGTGGCCACATAACTTCCCTTTAACATTCCTAACCAGCATCCTGCCTCGCGTCACTTAACTGTTGTCACCTGCGGTTTGATGTCACAGATTCACACGTAGTATGTTGTTCGGTATTCATTTAAAGCAATACTGAGCAACGTTCCACTGCTGAGCGCAATGAGCATGCTGCCTTTTCATTAACCATTTTACATATTTAACATTGTGACCATACCCTTGCTTCGATTTCCACCACAGCACATGAACAGGTAAACGATGTATTTATTCCATATTACTTGAAGGTGTCAGGGGGCACCTTCTTTCAGAGTCAAGGATTTCTTACTCAGCAAGGAGATAGATGACATGCTTCAAATCACAGAGCTTTTTTTTTCTGAGCTTGGAGTTTCAGCGCTAACTTAATTCCACAGGGGGGTGGTGGTGAGGACTGGCATTAACACCTGCACAAAATAATGGCACTTTTCGGTCTAATGGAGTAGCAAGCACTCAACATGCTAGAGAGACTGTAAACAGAAAGACAGAAAACAATAAAACAAAGTTAAAAAAATTAATAAAGAAAAAAAAACGAGAAATGGAAAAAGGAAAAAATAAAAATGGGGGGGGGGGAACACAGGAAAAGG